AAGAGTCATGAAGGAATTTCTATGTGCCAGAAACTAGAGCAGGAAAAATGTTCCTCTACCCTCTAATGTTCAGTGTCTGGGGCCTGTGAATTTATCTGACAAAAGACAGATTAACAGGAGTGAAGGAGTACAAATGTATTCATATTTTTACATGCACAGGAGTTCACAGAGAAGTGAAATTCCAAAGAATAGTTAGATTTGGGAGCTTATATAACATTTTAACAAAGGAAAGAGAATTTGGGCTTCAAGGCCTATAAATTGTGGGGAAGTAAATAGGAAATATATGGGAGAACTTATGGAAGAGGAAGTTTATTTGAGTAACATTTGTTTATGCACTTGTCTTGGTGCTGACTCTTGTTTGTGGTGATAAGTGTGCCTTTCTTCATCCTGGTACAGGAGAGCAAGGAAAACTTACACCACTTTCACGAAGGCATTTTTATGCCTGCATGTAGGCAGATAAAGGGAGGGCAGAGAACTCTTCCTGAGCCTGTTGATTCTTTTTAAAAAAATAGATTTTTATTGATTTCAGAGAGGAAGATGAGAGGGAGAGATAGAAACATTAATGATGAGAGAGAATCATTGATTGGCTGCCTCCTCCCCACCCCACACTGAGGATTGAGCCCGCAACTCCTGGTTCATAGGTTGATGCTCAACCACTGAGCCATGCCGACCAGGCTGTCTGTTGATTCTTAATTGCTGTTAGCTCAAAATTATCTTCCTGCCACAGTGGCATGGTTTGGGGTAGCATTTCCTGATCCCTTCAGTTTGATAGCATTACATAGACCAAACACTTTATGCAAATCTAGTGTATGGAAAAGGTGTCACATTAATTAGGCAAGAGAAATGTGAATTTATTCCACCTTCTTATGCATTACAAATTCTTGTAAGAATGACTTTAATGAAAATATAATAGCCTAATGAACACATCCTAATATACTTTACCATTTCTCTATAATTGAGCATTTAGATTGTTTCCACCCTTTCATTTGCTATTACTACAGCAAATCTCATTGTGCCTGAATTTATATTTGTGTTTTGAAATTTTCACACTTAGTATAGAGACCCAGTAAAACAATTACTGATTCAAAAGATACAAATACTTTAAAGCCAAATCGGTTGTCCTGACTTATCAACCTTATCCCATTGTTGGTACTACAATTTAATCTTTTTATAGTTGACTAGAGGCCCGATGCACAAAATTTGTGCACAGGCAGGGTCCCTAGGCCTGGCCAGCAATCAGGGCAGATCTGTGGGGCAATCGGGGCCCCCACCTTGGCCTGGCACCACCCGCTCACCTGCTCCACCATCCCACCATGGTCTCACTCTCATCAGGGCACACCGAGGCCAGCAGCACCTCCACTGCCGCCTGCTGCCAGCACCATGTCACTGACACCTGCCATGTTCCACACTGCCCTTGGTGGTCAGCGCACATCTAACTCCCGGTCGGTCGAACTCCCACCCGTGGGGACAATTTTCATATTAGCCTTTTATTATATAGGATGATATAAAATGGTACTTTGTTTTAATTTAAGATTTTAACTTTACTAATGAGTTGAACAATAAAACAATTTCCTGACGATTTGTATTTCCTCTTTTGAGAACTGTTTATTTATGTCTTTTTCCTATTTATCAGTTGCTTTGGTGTTTTTTGTGTTGATCCCTAAGAGCTCTTTCATCTATTAAGGTTATTAACTCTGTTCATTATCTGTTGCAAAAAAAAAAAAAATTACACCTTGCCTTTTTGGTTTTTAATTCAGTTTATGCTAAATTTGAAGATTTAAAATGTCATGGGGTAAAATCTGTCTTTTTCTATGACAACTACTTCCATTGTTTTTATCATCTAAAACTTTTTACCACCCAGCGATAAAAAAAAAAAAAAAAAAAAAAAAAAATTGGTAAAGGATTTTCTCCTAAGTTTCTTTTTGGTTTGAGTTTTTCAATTTAATTCTTTGATTAATCTAAAATTTGTTTTGATGTGTGTGGTGAGGGGAAGATCAGAGTATCCTTTTGACTGTACCCCAAAGAAGGGCCCACATGACTTGGGTCCCATAGAAAAGAAACGGATAAAGACATCTAAAGCAAAACATCCAAAGGCAAGAAATCAATGAATGGATTTTCTTCTTGGAAAAGATGCCTTTACAAAGGAAAGAAACTTAGAAAACTTGTATGTATCCTCAGGTTAAGGCCAAGATTTTTAAAACACAGGGAAATCTCTTTTCTTTTTATCTTAATTAACCAAGGCATATAAGACATTACATCTACCTTATTCTAGAGTACAAGTATCTGGTTCTCTTGGTATATAAAGACTTTGAGAATTCTATATCTATATCTTTGTTTGTGTGTGCGTGTGCGTGCGTGTGTGTGTGTGTGTGTGTGTGTGTTCCCCATTTGGCCACTACTTACCTCCTATGCCTTGTGAAAATAAAAGGATCTTCCAGGGGAATGAGGAACTTACAGTTGCAACACAAAGGACTTGCTGGGTTTTTCTCTGCCACACTGCAAGTCGAGACCTCAGGAGGGTATTCTGATTGAGATTGAGTCGTATACATAAATAAATCCCCAGCCAATGCTTGATTTGAATAGATATATGGAAGTTGGGGACAGAATTGACCAGATGCTGGACCATATGATAAACACAGTGGGTCATGGTGTGGTATAAAAACTGGGCATTTATATGGTACAGCTGTCCATGCATAATCTCCTACTAATTTATAAGGCAGGAGCATCTGCTCTCTAGCTGCCACTCTTTCCAATTTTCTAACGGCCTTCTCCTTGAGTTTCTTGTTTAATGGAGCAAACCCCACCCCATGCTGTGGTAAAGAAGGGGCGTCACCATGAGGGACAATGACATGGCCCAGAATCCTGCCTTTCAGAGAAGAAAGAGAGAAATACCTCCAGGAAGATTATTAGTCTCATTCTGAATAAATTTCTTTTAAAAAATATATATTTTATTTCAGAGAGGGAGGGAGAGAGGGAGAGAGAGATAAAAACATCAATGATGAGAGAGAATCATTGATCAGTCGCCTCCTGCATGCTCCCTAGTTGAGATCGAGCCTGCAACCCGGACATATGCCCTGCCCAGGAATTGAACTGTGACCTGCTGGTCGATGCTCAACCACTGAGTTCTGCTGGCTGATCCTGAATAAACTTCTTTATTGGATGGTAGCATTTTGAAAATGCTCTTCTAAATGGGGCATCTTGGGATTCCATCACTGGCTGAGATCTTTCTCTATTAGGAGAGATTTCATTTTGCCCCTTAATTTATCTAAGAGGAGAATGTAGGCCAAAATTAAAGCCTCACTTTGCTTCCTTTTTTTAATTTTTATTTTTCAGTTTGCTTTCAGCCAGAATTAATATTAGTTTCTGTTTATTTTGAACAAGCTAGCATAGCTGGGGACCACACAGGTAAAACTGAGAGGTGGAATTATGATGCCCTCCTCGCCCTACAACTCCCCTCAACAAAAACCTTTGAGAGGGCCCATCTCCCTACTCACTGGTCTTTCCTTCCATTACCATTTTATGGCATGCCCTTCGTTACCTACTCGACTAGGCCTAGCTTTCTACTACCCCTTTGTTTAACCCCACTAATGTATTAGTTGAAAGAGGCTTAGAATATTTTTATTTTAAAAGGGACTCATAACACTGATATTAAAAGATTAAAAGGAATGAACATCTTAATAACAAAATTTTATTTTCTGGAACATGTGGATAATATAGTTTAAAGAGAAGGACCACTTCACCTTCAAATAATACTATTTTGGAAGAAACCCATTGGGCTATGGTTTAGAAGAGGTTCCTATTCTGCCTCTAAGAGCTTTGTGATATTGGTCAGGTCACTTTGCCTCTCTGAGCCTATGTTTCCAAAACTGCACACTGGGTATAGTAACCTCTAACTTACTTTATAGAAATACCTTTTAATGTATAAGATATTAAACAAAAATAAGTGACTGTGATTATATATCCATGGACATGTGAAATATTAGAGCTGTACGTAATTTATCTATTTTACATACATAATACAATTTATCATCCAAACTAGGATACTTCTGAGAGAGAATGGGGGTGAGGACTGCATAGGAAGCTGGGATAGTAGTGAATTATCTGGAAAACCTGAACATATGGTCTCCTTGGCCATTACAAGCTCTAGAAGCCATATGCTCTAGTTACTCATCAGACCAGCTTTGTCCCTGAATGCTATACATGTAAGATAGGATGTAAAAATTAATGAAGGCCTTTCCACTGATATGTTGGTATGTGTTTGGGGAAACCAAGTACATTCAAAACAATAAATGAATGAAACATTTGATGACCTTCTATTATTTCCCTTTGACCTTCTGCCCTCCCTCAATAGTATTGATAATGTATAAGCATGCTAAGTGATTGAGATGATTTCTGCAGTGCTTTGCACATTGTGGGCAAGGGTCAAGACAAGACTGTGACCCTGATGATCCCTTCGCACCCCCTCCAGCTTTACCCATTTCTCCTGGGGCTTTCATGCTACCCATCAATGTCCATGATCTCCCCACCATGTCCTGTTTCAACCTGAGACCATATGTACTGATTGTACACTAAGTTTTGACATAATAAAGTTTCCCAAACTCCTCTGATCACGAGAATAACCTGAAGTGCTCTCCTTTTAATTCTGAGTCAGTGGAGCCTGATCCTTGGGGTGGGGCCTGCTTATCTGTATATTTAACCAAATTCTTAGGTAATTCTTATCATCACATGAGTCTTAGTTACATGGGTTTAATAAATATGAAAACAGAAAGATGCCCTCGAGGTCTTTTAAACCAGTGGTTCTCAAAGTGTGGCTCTCCAACCAGCAGCATCAGCAGTATTTGGGGACTTATTACACATGTAAATTATTGTCCCTATATTGCACAGGAACTCAAGAGGTGGGTCCAGTGACCTGTGTTGTAACAAGCCCTCCAGATGATTCTCATATAAAGACCCAGACCACTAATATACACCAACTCTTTCTTGTCATCCTTCATGTATAGATGAGGAATATTGGCACTCTCTTCTCTCACTTTGGAATCTTGGATTTGAAGTTAAGAAGGGACAAGTGCTACAACCCCTAGATGATTGGGAACAGGCTGGAAGGCAAACGGTAGGGGGCCTTTGAGGTTGGGGCATCAGTGGGCACGGTCCGCAATTCCGTCTCCCTACTTCTATGGTGAGGGGTCTTGTCTGTATAGATAAGGGCTCAAGTATGCTAAGGGGACTGCTGAAAGACACAGGCTTCTAAAGAGCCACACCCCTGTGGTAAACCAGAGTCTGGGTGTTAATAGTGACTTCTCACCAAAGAAATCCCCTGAGAACCCAGACACCAAGAAACCCCAGTTTCCTCCAGAGAAAGAAGTTTCAGCTCTGCTTTTGGTGGTTAGACTCTGCTTATTCTCAGGGTGGTGATGAAAGACTCTTCTAATTAGTGCTGCATAAGGATCGTCTGAAATTGTAACCTACAGGGCGAGATTGCTGTGGTTGGATCACACGTCTTCCCCTCACACTGGTGGGGAAGAATGCGTGCTCAGCAGATAGTTCAGATGTTCCTCGTTATACTCAAAACCAGTGTTCCCAAATTTCAGTCATTGACTACAGTTTTCCCAATGTTTTCAATATTCAACTACACCATGTACTATCACTTATTCAATATTTTTCATTTACTCAACTTAAAAAATACTCTATATATTAAAATATTTTTAAATTTACCAAACATTTTTTGAAGATAGTACAGAGATTTCCTGTATATCCCATACCTAGTTTCACCTATTATTAACATCTTACATCAGGAGGGTATACTTGTCACAATTAATGAACCAATATTGATACATTATTATTAACTGAAGTCTATACTTTATTCAAATTTTTTTAGTTTTTACCTAATGTCCTGTTTTCTGTTCTAGATCCCATCCAAGACACCACATCAAATTTAATCATCACACTATGTTTGGGTGTTAACCAGACCCACTGAACAGTGAACCAGTGCAAAATGATGGCACTCTGGCTGCTGCTGTTGCTGTGAGTATTAAAGGCCTCTGTCTCTCACCTGGGAGTCTCTTGTCTTCTGCTAAGGGCTAAGAAACTTCTACAGGCTGACTTATCAGCTCCCAAGGAGGATAAAATGCCAGGCCCCTTACAGCTCTTGATAATTGTTTATTGTACAGTTGAAGTGCTCAAAGAAAATAGGGAATATATTAAATTCATAAATATTTAAAATAATTCAATTAAATTATAAAAGCCCCTTTAAACATGATTGTTAAAAGTTTCCAGATTTATAAACACAGTAATGAAGCTTATGAGTTGAATTAAAAAAAAACACTCAATGAATTTGAATTTGTAGTTTTCATTAATTATCAATTGAAAAAAATGACAACATTCCCTGAATAAATTTTTTTCTGGCACAAAAACTATTGTTAAGGATGTTGTATGTTCTTGAGCAGAACTCACAAGTTCTTGGGTTGCACAGTCCAAGACAATTCAAATCTAAGTTTTGATCATAGGCCGAGGCCGCTTCATAAAATCATTTTCACTTGTTTCATCATGGGACTCTCAGATCCCTGCCTCTTAGGCAAACTCTCAGTTTTTGACACATTCTTCAAATTTTGTAGCCTTCAAGTTTTGTGACACTAGCTGTCCATTTTGTTATATAGACATTGACTACTGGCATTTTTTTAAATGTAAGTACTTACCACTCTCTTATTACTATCATTAGTAGTTTTCCCCTCCTAGAAAAGGAGAGATTGAGTTTGCCTGGGTAGCATTCCTCTGAGAACATTTGGTGAGTTTATCCTTTTGCAAGCTTCTCTCCAACCATCTTTGTAATTGATCTCCCTGGGTAACTACTGGAGCTAATGGCTGCCAGGCCCCTCACCGCCCTGACTGTTGTGAAATCAGCAGAGCTGATCAGACCTTTCTATTCTTGGTACAGTTCCTGCTTCTCTAGAACTGTTTGGCTTGCTCACATGTTTTTATTCACCCTTTCCTGCTTATGAAGATAGAAACAAATACATATGTATACTTTGAAACGTATAGTAATAAAAGAAAAACTCCATGAATGTCAACATTTGCCTACATTTAAATGTCAAGAAAAATGAAAATAACCTATTTTTTCCTTTCTTAGTATTACAGCTATCTTTTGTGTGTGTTTTTATACCATCTCCTCCCTTCAGAGCTTTGTTTTGAAGTTAATCTCAAATAGCTTGGCTGTAGGGAACCCTGCTGCCTTCCACTTCATTCTTCTAGCTCTGACCCTGATGTTTTATAACAAAAATAGGGTGTTCCAGACCCATCCTGATATTTTTGGGGGGGGGGGTATATCTACTTGATATCCCAAAAGAGATATCAAGTAGACACTTGGCTATATTTACTCTACTCCTTTCCCTGTAAAAAGAGGTCTTTTGTCAGAACAGTGTTGTGTGGTAAAATATGGTGGTGAATAAGACATTTAGTAAATCCATCAGTGCTGGACAAGACAGAAAGAAGCATGACGGGTAGGAGAGAAAACCTAAATCAAGATGTGGAGGGAGGAGGGAAATAAGGAACTCCATGGGGGACAAATCACTGCCCCCTCCAAGATGTGTGTACAGCTCGCTTGCTGCTGTTGCTCAAGGGAACTCAGACTGGCAGTAGCCAGGTTAGGCTCAGTAGGAGGAAGCTTGTGCCTTCAAGCTGTGTATAATAATCGTCATTCCTACTGAATGGACAGCTGCTCATGAGCACATTCAGAAAAACTGTTGTGTCTGGGAAAGAGGCTGAGAGGTCACATGTTCTAAGAGTGGGTCATCTTCTCTGTTGATTCCAGAGGTCTTACAGTTTATTTGTGCTATAAGAAAACGTTTGGGTCCAGTCTTGATTCTGTCCCTTTTGTCTCATGGCTTGATGGTCCAAGAGAACACCCATTTGTGATTGGAAGCTCCCAAATCCAGAGACCCTGGCTGTGTTCTATCATTAAGGCTTGTCGCAGACTTCCTTCTTGGTCTCCTATCAAGTGTTGCCTCCTCCCATGTATTGCTCATGTGATAGCCAGAGTGATATCTCTAAAACTAAAATCTGATTATAGCTTTTGCTTTTAAAAAATAATTAGTTAGCCCTAACCAGTTTGGCTCAGTGGATAGAGCGTCAGCCTGCGGACTCAAGGGTCCCAGGTTCGATTCCGGTCAAGGGCATGTACCTTGGTTGCGGGCACATCCCCAGTAGGGAGTGTGCAAGAGGCAGCTGATCGATGTTTCTCTCTCATCGATGTTTCTAACTCTCTATCCCTCTCCCTTCCTCTCTGTAAAAAATCAATAAAATATATATTTTTAAAAAATCATTAGTTCAATCGCAGTGCTTTAACTCATATACAATGAACACCAATTATGTGCCCATTCTAGGTCATGAGGAATCAGCAAAGACCAAGATAGAGGGTCCTTGCTTGTGGTACTGCTGAATCTAGTGGAGGATGAGGAGAATTGAAAATAATGTAAACAAACAAAATAGTGAAAAATGAGGAATAAATAAAGTCATGTGATACATATTAATGTAGGGGTGGGGAGACTTATTCTAGATGGAATAATGAGGGAAGGCCTTTTGAGGAGACAGCATTAAGCTGAAACCTGCAGGACAGGAAGCCGGCAAAGTGAAAAGGGAGGAAGGACATTCCAGGGAGAGGGAACACAATGGCTCCCGTTCTCTCATTCTGCAGGCTGGGAGATCAAGTCAAATAGACCATGTGACACAAACACAGACTTGTTTTGTAAGCTGGGGATTGTGTTCCACTATGAGGAAAAGGGACCCAACTCCAATGGCTTAAACAGATTGGAAACTGAAACTGCTATCTAGAAATTTAGGTTCCTCATGCTATAGTGCAAGCCTCTCAAATGGGCTATGGTTGCCTGAAGTAACTGATTCTGACCTTCAAGAATAAATATAATTGCTCTTTCCAATGCAATCATGGATTAATATATCTGTTACCCAAGACATTCTCTAGGGTTTCTCCCAATACTTCCATGTTCAGTGGTAAATGTTAAAGAACAGCTACTGCAAGGTCTGGTCAATCACCTGTTACTCGTCCTCAACAATTTCAGAAGATAAAAACAAAGAGAACATGGAATGGGTATTAGAGGAGGGAAATCGTGATTACCTACTACTGTCTCATCTCCAATGTCAAAAAGATAATTGTGGAGTCTTTTTCTGGGTTTTGCCTTCTGTGTCATCAAAGTTGATAAAGTTGAAAAGTTACAATTACCAACACTTTTTAACCTATAAAAAGTGATGAGGAAAGGAATAGAAAAGAAAGAAAATGTAAAAAATAAACATATGCACATGTATTTATTATACATAAATATACATATATGTATTTTTTTAAATTTCCTTTTTTCTTCTATACCTTTCCTTACTGCTTCTTGTAAGGTGCGTTGGCAATTGTTAGTTTTTAGCTTTGTCCACAAAAATGCAATGAACTGCTTATTCTGGGCCATAATAGCCAATTAGCTGAGCTGCTTGTATTATGGCCTGAATTGGCTAGAAAGCCATCTCCTGTTTTAGGCAAACTGAAACTTGGCAGCTTTTCAATTTATCTAGTAAGCTAGAGGCATGGTGCATGAAATTGTGCACAGGTGGGGGTCCCTTGGCATAGCCAGTGATCGAGGCCTATCAGGGGGCTGGCCAGCCAGGGGGACGGGCCGCAGGAGGTTGGCCAGCTGGGGGGAGGAGCAGTGGGAGGTTGGCTATGGGAGCACACTGACCACCAGGGGGCAGCTCCTGTGTTGAGTGTCTGCCTCCTGGTGGTCAGTGTGTATCATAGCGACTGGTCGACTGGTTGTTCCACTCGTTCCAGTCGTTTGGTGTTTGGTTGTAACGGTTGCTTAGGCTTTTATATATATAGATGCTGAGGAACAGTGAACTGCAAGTCTTTTCATTGTCAAGTAGGCTCATTCTTGATGAACTAATTGCTACTTATTACGATATTTTAGAACTGCAGATAGTTGTTTACTTCTAGAAAATTGAATGATGTAAATTATTCTCTCTAGAGTAAGGCAAATGATATTTTTCCTGTAGAGATAAAAATGACTTCCAATAGAAAAGATAACCCTGGAAGTTATAGCTTTATTGACCTGTAGGACATTCATCACATTTGTATCTAAATTAACATTCTTTCTTTCAGTGACTCTAAATACTTCTCATGCTCCTATAATTCTTTGTGTAAGTTTTACCATTCTTTTGGTTCCCTCATTAATGAGTTAAATCTTAATACATGCTCACTTAAGACACACACATATACACACATGCACACACCACAATGAAATATGACTGTACCAGTATGGCTAAAATTGAAAATAACAACAATACCAAATAGTTATAAGGATGTAGAACAACTCGAATTCTCTTACATTACTGATAGAAATGTAAATTAAGACAGTTATTTTAAAAATGGATTTCTTAATATCTACTAAAGCTAAACATATCTACTCCTGCGTATATAGCCAACAGAAATCCTGAGTATTTCTACCAAAAACATACATAAAAAGGTTTATAGAAACTTTATTTGTGATAGCCCCAAACTGGAAGCAACCCAATGCCCATAAATGGAATAGATCGATTATAATATAAATATACAATAGAAATCTACACACTAATTTTTAAAAACGAACAACTGATACATGCCACCACATAGACCTAACATTAAAGGAAAGAAGCCAGGTACAGAAAACTATACAATGTATGATTTCATTAATATGAAGTTCAAAAACAGGAAACACTTGTCTCTGGGATAGAAATCAGGATTGTAGTTACCCTTGGGCAATACTAAAAGGGAGGACTCACAAAGGAGCATTCAGCGTGTTGGAACTATTCTGTATCTTGATCTGGAATACATACAGAATACACATGTTAAAAATGTATTGACCTATATATGTAAGACGTGTGTACTTTTCTGTATCTTATAACAATTTTAAAAGAAAAAATAAATGAATTTTGGATAACTCACAGGCTCTCCAGGGGGTTGGGGGTGGGGCGGGAAAGAGAACCAGATTTAAGGC